TGCAATTGGATTAACAGCCATTTTTAAAGAAAAATGTACTGTCTTTTTGTTTGTAAAGAGAAGTTAATTAAGAGATGGACTGGTTTACAGATGACTTTATAAAGACTATACTTTCAGGGATCATTTCTATAGTTCGTTACAGAGAAATTTAAAAACATATGTTCATGTTTAAATAGGCACAGTCTATATTGACAATGTCACAAAGACTCAGAAATAACAGTAATTTCAATGTATAATTTAGAAAACATACCAATCAGTATGGATCTTGAATAGTAAAGAAAGGAGAGGTGAATTTCAATTATTGATAATTTCATGGCCTTTGCATATCTGAAATATGAGTGCTCAGATAAATTTTGTCTTTGTATGGATATATTTTATAGGAATTTTCATTCAAGTTTTTGTATGAATCTGGGTGGTCCTATTTTAATAATAAGCTTATTTTCTGTGCACAAGAAAAAGTATTGGGGGCAATGGGGAGATAAGGACACATATGTAGTACCCTAATCAATAAAGAAAAAAAAAGGAAAAAGTATTCTCCACATTTAAATGTATTATACTAGAGAATATTCAATGCAAACTTGTCATTATATTATTTTAAATTATTTTTGTTTTTTATTTATTTCATCTTGTTACATCATGTCTTTATTTCTTTATTTTTGTTTGCTTATAGGGTCAAATGTATTTTTTTATTTGACTTAAAAATAAATCTGGCTTGAGACCAAACTTCCTCATCTACTAACTTTGAAAACATTAGAAAATTCCTTAATCATTTTAAGTTTCAACTTTCCTATTTGATAAAACAAAATAACCATATTTTACTCATGTGGCTAATTTGAAGATTAAATGAGTCAATTTAACATGAATTTGCTTGGTTACCTATAAAATTGTATACAAATATTCTAAGAACATTGTGCTTTCTAAATGATGGAAAGAGTTTTAAATAGTGAATTTTATAAAGTTATAATAATGGTGACACCATGTGTAAAGAAAATGCACATTTTGGTTGACATGCAAATGGGATGTTTGATATCTTCCCAAATATAAGCCATTCTCATTAATATGTAAATATCTAAAGTTAATAACTTCATTTTTGGCATATTTTCAAATATTAGTCTTGCTTATATCATCATATCCAGCTGGGAAATTCATCATGCAAACAAGACCACATGAAACTTTCGAGAAAATTCCTGCCAAAGATGCCTCTGGATCAAACCAGAGAGCTGAGGAGGCCGTGCTCAAATGAAGAGCTGCCTCTCCACACAGTCACTTGACAAGGAAACACTGCACAAAATACTGATTCTGGTCCTCCCCTCCCCGCAAAAGTATCAGGGCCCTAAAATTTTATTTTTTTTCCCAAGCCTTGGAAAAAATTAGCTCTCAAGTGGCTCATTATAATAGAGTTGAGGGCACACAGTTGGGCACGTGGTGAGGAATCTTTGCCTGGCAGGTTCCTTCTCTCATAAAGATGTATTACTTTTTGAAAGATGCAAAGTTTCAATCTATGGTGAGTTGCACTAAGGAAGTATCCTTCTTCTAAGGTTATGCTTGTTCTACACATGAGAAACCTCTGAGTTCCATGAAGGTGGTACCTTCTTGAACATTGCTGCATTATGTTAACCACATAACTAAATTCTCTCATTTTATCTAATAGATTTTTAAGTTGATGTTCTTGCTTCTCCCAGGCATATAATGATTTATTATGCAAATAATAATAACTTTGAAATTTTTTCTTTCCAAAATTTATCTCTTATTCTTACTCTTATTCAATTATTTTGGCTTGAATGAAGAGGCTTACTCAGCTAGAACTTTCAGCACCTTGGCAATGTTAGTGGGCATTCTTGTTTTACTCCTGACTTGAATGAGAAGTTTAGTTACTGGCCTTGGATTTGAGATTTATTCTTGCAGTCACATCAAGAAAATACTCATTTATTCTTATTTTTCTATGACTTGATTTTAGAAAATGAGAACAGATACTGAATTTTGTTGCGTGCATTTCCAAATCTTATTAAAGAAGCATATGATTATTCCCTTTTGTTCTATCACATTATTAAGTTTCTGAAAATAGAATCCTCTTGGAATTCCTGTATGATCCTTAGCTGTTTGTGTCATGTATTTATATCCAATTTGATTTATTAATATTTTACTTAAGATCTTCCTCATTATCATTGGTCTAGTTTCCATTTGTGAAACTATTTGGACAAGTTTTGGTAACTGTAATGGTGTTTTTTCTTTCATTGGACTCTATCGTAGTCTTTTTTTTTTCCTTAATGTTTTGAAAGAATTCTTCTGTAAAATCATCTGAGTGACCATGGCATTTGAGAGGAGAATGTAACGTCCTTAATAACCCTCTCAATTTCTTGCTATATGTTTTTATTCTTTTTCTGCGGTCAATTTTGGTAATTTGTAATTTCCTAGAAAATGCCCATAGTCCCAATTTTAAAATTAATTTGTAGAGTTTTGCAAAGAATTCTCATATTTCACTCCTGGTCCCGGACTGATGGTGAGGAGGCTTTCTTGCCTCCACCAATCTTCTCTCCTTTGACTATGAAGAGTTCCACTGGTGATATTGTAGCACCAACTCGATGACGTTCTAAACAAAATGGAGTCTGTTGCAATACTTACATTGCTCACGTTGAGAGCATTGGCTCTGGCGAGGTTAATTTCTGGAGTGTCTGGCATTATGTGGATCGACGTTTTATCCTTGTCCCAAACTTCTCTGTACTTTGGCTATGGAAAGAACCAATAATAAAAAAGTTACTTCATAATTTGTAACTTGGCTAGTTCCAATGCACAACTTTTAATTTTTCTGATGCAAAACATTTTTATATCTAGAGGAGTCTTTTCACATAGATTACTCAAATTTGATATAAAATCTGTATTACTGTATTAATACCTTTTATTAATACTTTGAGTTTCTGTTTAAAGTTAGAAAGTAAATAATAAAGCAACTCTGTCAACATTACTTATTAAAATATTTGCCATCATCAATATTATGTTTATTAGATTACTAGGTTAATGATTTCTTTGTTTGTTTTTGTAATTCTCAAAATCAAACAGAGGACATTTTTCCATTGATTTTTAGGGAGAGTGGAAGAGAGGGGAAAGACAGAGAGAAACATTGATGTGAGGGAGGAGCCTCGCCCGGGCAATGATTTCATTTACTTATAACACTAACCTAATTTTATTATAGAGAAAATGGTACCTACAATACTAATATTTTCAGCATTTGACTTAGCAAGGACAACTTCCGGTGTGTCGACGATGCTTGTGTACTTGAGATTCACCACCGGTGTCCGGTAGACACTGTCTCGTAGGATCTCCTGGGCGTTTTTGACTCTCAGTACTTCGGGAGACCCATCCGGCATCCAGCCAATGCCACGCAGCCACTCCAAGTCAGCCTTGTAGATAGCCTGGGAAAGAAAACAGTCTGCTAGAAATGGGCTTTTAAAAAAAATTAGTAAAATAGGCAAGCACTTTTGTATGTTACATTTTATCTTCCACAAACAGTAATAAAAAATGAATACTCTCCTGACAAACATAACTTCTCACACACACAGTAGTGCTTTGTTCTGCCTTTCCCCTGTGGCAGGGGGTCCAAGTTTGGGTGCATGTGCACATTTTAAAAAGCAGAAAGATGTAGAAAGAGCTCTCTGTTTGGGGGACGCATGCCCAATTTTTGAATAACATTAGATAATCATCCTACTAGTCAATGTGGAATTTAAAGCAATAATAATGGGCTCTTTAGTAAGTCCTCTACAAAGCAACCAGAATGATCTTTTCAAAGTTCGAAATTCATATCTGCTGTCACCACATCCCCTCATTTTGTGACTTCCCATTGGTCCTAGGATAAAGATCAAAATCCCTAACATGGACTAGAAGGCAAGGGCTGACCTGGCACCAGCCCCGACTGTTCTCCCAGCCTCATCTTACGGTGCTTCCCTTCGACCTGTGCACTCTGACCGCACCGGCCTTCTTTCAGTTGTGGTTTGCATACGGCCCCCTTTGCATATGTTGCTCAGTCTGCAGGAACATCCTCTGTGTCCTCCTCAGAGCCACCTCCTACTGTCCCTTCAGAGCCACTAAATCAGCGCTTCCTTAGATAAGCTTTCCCACCTCTCATAGAGCCAGAGATCACTCCTCCGCCATCTCACCATTTGCTGATATTCTCCAATTAGCACCTATTTCTTTGTTATCGATGTGAATTCCTAAAGCCAGGAACTTGGTCTCATTTATTCTTTATTTACAATTGTATCTTTAGTGCCTAGCCCAACACTTGGCACATAATGTGTCTAATATTTTAAAAAGACAATTAAGAATGCAATCCCTACCCTAGCTTCACAATTCTGATCTCAATTGTATTTTTTTCCAAGATAGCAAGCACCTCTCTTTGAATTGGGATTTTTATTTTCTTGATTATCTAAATCTGTTTCCCCAGACATAGGTAAGTGGTAAACCATATCAAATTGCTTTATGCTAAACACCAGTTATTAGCTTTATAAAAAACCATGGTGTTCTTCAGAAATGATATTTTAATAACTAGGTAATAAGATACAAATACTAGGCTAAAAAGGTAGTAAGAGGAGTGAAAAAGGTAGGAAATTTTCTTCCTACATGAAGAGTGACATATCCAGAATTCAGAAGAAAGGATCCTCAAAGAAGATTACATAGACATTTTTAAATTTCCCTCCCTCATTCTCTAAGAACTTGATTGCTGTACACACCTCGGTTCACTAATGAAGGTCAGGTTAGTGAACAGACTGCCTTTCTTGAGAAAACGGCTAACATTCACCAGATGGCAATTCATATCAAGTGATGGGCGTACATCCCACAGGAAACTCATTCATTATGGGAAAGCATCTTTTGAAGCTTAGGGGAAACAAGTTCACATAATTTTTTTTTAAAAGGTATCCCTTCTATAGAAAAAATAAATAGTCCGAGGGAATCCATCATTTCCCAAACATTGAATGGGCACAAAATATGAGTAAATCTAAAAGCACTTCAGGTAAATTAATGAAACACCAGGCTGTGAAGAACACCAAGTTAAGGAAAACCAGTGAGTCTGAAGCATGCTGCTAACCTTTGAAATTAATTTTAAGAAACATAGCCTGCCCTTCTTCAATGCATAGTTGAAGGACCAGGACAGTCCTTAATAAACTACAAACACTGCACATGTTCACAAGTCTATAGAAAAATTATGAAAATAAAAACTTAACAACAAAAATGAAAACTTTCTGAATAAACCCAGCAGGAGGGTAGACACTTAATAAGCTTGGTAAAATACTCAAGGGAAGTGCTTATGCAGGGGGAGTTGTATTTTCCCACGCACTGGAAGGAGTGGTCAGGCAGAGCTGTGGAAGGCTTCCTTCCCGGGGACAGCTCACCCCTCAGGCACCTGCCTTGGTGCTCCCTTCCATCACACACTCCCAGGCACACACTTACATCACTCTGCAGGTCGTACGCCCTCCTGGCGTGGATCACATCGTTCTGGTCAGGAAAGCAAGACCACTGGTGCAGGTACTGGCGATAGTCCACGTTGCTTGCTAATGCCTGGCCTTCTTTGGCAGTGCTGATGGACACCATGTCCCCCGGGATGGAGATCTTCGCCTTGTGGTCATTGTAGGCCTTTTTGTACAGCCTGTCATTCTGCATCTTTAATACATTTGCTGCCCAAGCCAGTTTAGGGTCTTCCTTGGCATTGCGACATCCAATATAGTGGCCTTTCTGTTTCTCATAAGCAGTCTTATACAGATACTGTTGGGTGTGAGCAGAAGAAAGAAGAGTTGTTTTTCCAAGTTCAATATGTCTAGACATTCAGTTCAAAATAGCTCCATTCCCTTAGATTCCTATTTTTGGGGCACTACAAGCACCTCTAGGCAAGAAGTGTGCTTCTAGGTTATCCTCCAATACAGGCTTGTCCAGTGTTTCCCAAACTCCAGTCAAGGTTTGGCACCCTCACATGTTTTGTCACAAACATGTACCAAATGTACTTCATACTTTAAGTCAATTTGATCCTTTGTTTAAATAAATTTATTTTTTAAGTGTAAACTTACTTAAATTGTTACTTTAAAATTTATAATTCTATCTAAATGGGATAAAATCAGTATTATTTCTAGCACACATTGAAACACATATATAACCATTTTTAAAAATGCTTGTTTATGTGTTGCATAATATATCACTTTGAGAAACAACAGAATTCTTTGCACCTATAAATCTCTAAGTGCTAGTAAATTAGCTTATACTGAGAAGATATTGAAAATAAAATAAAAATCTGTGCTTAAACATAAGAACAAGAGCAGAACTCAGCAGGGATGCATGAAGATCATCAAATTGTTGTAAAGTTGTTCTTAAATTTGGGATTTTAAAACAAGACACTAATAACAATGACCTTCACTTAAGTATAATTCCTGGGGAAATAAGTTAAAGATTAGTATGGCATTAACCCCCTGTGTGTCCACTAGTGTTTGTCAAAGCTGGGCAAGGAGGAGCTCTTACATCACTGGCAATATCCCTGGAAGCCTTGGCATGCTGGATCCCAATGGCATCTGCTCGCAGGTCATAGCCGGTCGACTTGACATCTTCCCAAGCTTGCTGGTAGTGTTTCTGCAATTGGAGAGTGCAATGCTACAGTCAGCCTGAAGAGGGAGTTACTGAGCAACATGCTAACAGTTATACTGAAAACTAATCTCCCCTAGAGCTTCATAGGCTGGTTTCATATTGAACTTATGTTCCAATCATTTTTTCATGGAATTTAGTAAAGTTATCTCTTAAACCTTTTTTTTTAAAGAAGGAAATTTAGGAGATAGGAAATCATGTTAAAATGAGAAAAAAATTATTTGGTTTTTAAAAGGAAAATCAATGATGGGTCACTAAAAAGAGAGCTAAGTATTATTATACATGCATAGGTACTTTTATGTTGTGTTTTGGCAAAACCACTTCATTTTTCCTTCCAACAAAGATAAAGACACATATCTCTAAACACACACACACACACACACACACAGTAACTTAAAGACTAGAAATAAAAGGAATGGTAGGTAACTGTCTTTTATAAATACTTTTCAGAGCATACTGCCTAAAGGTTCAGTTAGGCAGAAAGCATTGTATAAAGCACATGGGTGTGTAGTGCCTTACGTTGCTGATCTGCAGGGCGTTGATCTTGGACTGCAGCATCCCTGGAGTGTCGGCTGGCACATTCACATTAGCCTTCTCTTTGTCCCAGGCATCGCGATACAATGGCTGGTAAAAATGAAAAACAAGGGCTGATTGACAAGTAAATAAATCAGCTACCACATGAATAACATTACAATTAAAAATTCTTTTTTTTCATGGAATTTAGTAAAGTTATCTCTTATACCTTTTTTTTAAAGAAGGAAATTTAGGAGACAGGAAATCATGTTAAAATGATCATGGAATTTAGTAAAGTTATCTCTTAAACCTTTTTTTTTAAAGAAGGAAATTTAGGAGATAGGAAATCATGTTAAAATGAGAAAAAAATTATTTGGTTTTTAAAAGGAAAATCAATGATGGGTCACTAAAAAGAGAGCTAAGTATTATTATACATGCATAGGTACTTTTATGTTGTGTTTTGGCAAAACCACTTCATTTTTCCTTCCAACAAAGATAAAGACACATATCTCTAAACACACACACACACACACACACACAGTAACTTAAAGACTAGAAATAAAAGGAA